ATAAAAAAATCACTGTGAAGATATAATTTTTTCAATTGAAGAATAAAACCTTAAAATCAATTTTATTATAAATAAATACAGGAGCGACTAGTTTTGGCCTTACAGGAACATCTTCAGGCCTGTAATACAATAATCTTTAATTATTATAATAGGTTGCTCACTTACGAATAACATTAAATAGTATAAACCACAAAAATGGATCCATATTGTAGCGTTACAGCATTATAGAATTAAAGCTGTGAAAATAAAAGAGCAGTGCAAACGTAACTAAAAATAAGAAAACTGAGTACGAAATCTACAAGAGAAGAGGTGATATTGAGCAATTACGAATGCATTTAAATTGCTCGGGATAACAAATAAAGCTGATAATGTAGTGGTATAATCTCCGTCAAAGAAGGTCTGGATATGTTAAAGAGGACGGCGTTTTCTCTGTAAATCTGGAGAATGTAAGGATCGAGGGAAGACGAATCTTGCTGGCTCAGGTGTAGATAACTAGAAAAAGGAGCGTGTAGATGAAAGCTCCAGTAAATATCGTCTCTTTTGTCTAATTTTTTATTCTCACTCACCGTTTCGGCTTTATCTTTGAAATTCATTTTAAAAAGGAAATAAAAGTAATCATTCATACAAGCATATAATAAAACAACATGAATTCATTATATTTAATGAGCTAATAAACGTTTGTTTCAATGAAAAAAACATATATGTGTATATAAAAAATATAAATAGATAAGACAATTATCAAAATCAATATGAAAATACAACAGATAATAAAATGAAATAAATTAATACAAGTACAAATAGAAAGTTAATAACACACCTTCTAAAAGTAACACATTTTAAGTAGATAAATGTTTAGAGTTTATTCCTGAGCATAACTAATCTAACGTTTTTCCCCTTTTTAATATTATGAGGGTTTTTGTAGTTGAAATGAAAATTATAATTTATTTTGGTCCGAATAAAAATTTAAACATAGGTTATCAAAGAGTAAAACATAATAGAACTTCATAATCTTAAATCGTTATCAAAAATTATTAATGGTTAAACTTCAAACAATAATTAGATTCTTAAACAAATTTCTAGTTTTTGTTTTGCAAAAGACTTTTTTGCCTTCTTCGGTTGCCTTTGCCACTTTTCTTTTAGTAGTTTCGAGGAGAATTTTCCTACGGAAACCACTAGAACCATCAATTGGTTGGTAAAATTTTGATATTCCGGGTCTGGTAAGTCTTGTTAAACTTTCTTCTTAGGAAGATGTAACCTTATGGAGAATAAAAATTTAATGTTAGATCAAAAGCTCTTAATTGAGAATTATATTTACAAATGCCGTTTTAATATTTTCAAAAGTTCTTTGAATTGTTGTTAACAAACCTGCAAAAAAATATCATTCTATTCCTAAAATATAAGATATTACACAATGCACATTCATATAATATCATTGTGCTAGAAAAATACTAGGTAGGTACTAAGACAATTTAAAAAAAGTATTTCGAGAAACTCAACTTTTAATGTCATCATTGTACTTAACTTTTTTATTGCTAAATTATTAATAATGTCATTTTGTGTAGTTCGTTGTGATTTGTATAATATATATTATAAAAACCTATCGTCAATGTTAATGTGCCAAGTTTTTTAATAATTATGTCCTTGTTATAGTAAAAACACATTTAAACACATTTTTAAAGTTTTCTGGATTTCTGCTTTAAATTATCGTACAATTGACTAATTGTGTGTTTAAGTAAAGGTATATCTCTTTTTTGTTATAACAGACTTTGTATATTGTTCTGTTTAGATAATCAGAGAAAATAGTAAGACATCTTAATATATCCTATTTCACCAACAAAAATGTAGAATAAATTAATCTCACAACAAACGAAAAAAGTAATTTTAGGATATCCTAATAGGTTTTAACTTAAAAACTAAATAAAATGTATATTGCAACTGTATTTAAATAAATGAAAATTTTTATACCTGACTATAGCACCAGACAAACATTTTTTTAGATCCTAATGATCTGCATAACTCAAAATAGTCAAAATCCACATTATTTAAGTTGTTCTAGTATTGTTTTAGCATAACGATGTAAACTCCAATAATAAATATTCATATTTTTTTGGGATGTTTTTTAAGTAAATTAAAGAACATGAATAATGTGATATTCTTGTTTAGTTTTGTACTATATAATATAGTTTATTAGGTAGTGATTTAGAAGCAAATTATGTTCTATTTATAGAATAAAAAATCACTCATAATATCTAAAAATTTATACCTATTTATATTTTGGACAGGAAGACTGTTTTATGTTTTTGGCTCTGAATAGGTTTCTTAAGAATTTTAAATTCTTCCTTAGCTCTTTTGGTATATTCCATGCATATCTTAGAAGTTCGTTTTGTTTAAACCTAAAGCAAATTAAGTACAAAAAATAAAAATTTAAACAATACACAAAATTAGTCTTTTAGATTAGTTAAAAAAATGTCAACAAAAAAATGGCTATGCCTTTTTCCTTAAACATTCTTTTTGAAAGAAACTTAAGTTTCTCTACTTACTTGCTTTTTTAGTATTTTAGTAGCAGATGAATATAGTGTAGAAGTAGTGACAGGATTGATTATTATACTTCTTTGGTCGAAATTGTATTTTTCTTTAATATTTTCCTCCCCTGAGGTCTGTAATAAAAATGTTCATTAGCATAAAAAGTTATTCACTTGTTGAATTTCTATATTTTGGAACCATGTATTTCTTTCTCATTGCAAGAAAAGGAAACCTAACAAAAAATAACAATAAACTTTACAAAGATGTGATATTAAAATAATAATAAGTAATTAACCTTTACTATAATCATTATGAGACGGATGAAGACAAACTTAGCTGGAGTTTACTTGTTCTTAATTTTAATTTTTCGATAAAAAAATAAGAAAGTTTAATTGCAAATTAAAGGTGATTGCCTAATGCACCGCCTCTGATAATTAGGTTGTGTCTGTACTTACTTATGATATTATCTTAAAGAATCATTTTCAACAGGCCTTTTACACATAAAGCATGTTTTCACCATATTATTAGAGATAATAAATCTTAAATATACATTTACAACCCTTACAACGTTATAAATAATAATATTTTCCGTAAAATACAAATTAGAAATTGACATGTGTCAGAAAGTGTCAGAACTGGCGCTGTCAAACTTGGCAACGCTGATTAAATAAGCCAATTACAGACAAGGTATTTTCCCCCTCGGGGGGAGTAGATGTTGCTAACAAAATTAAGCGAGGGGAAGAGGGGAAGACTCCCTCTAGTAGTAATTGCTCGGAGGTCTAGATAATCATTAAACCCACTACCTCCACAGGTAAGGCGTATCTATCCTAATAATAATTTTGTTGGCCAATGTAATAAACGCCTACTGTTCACTAGATTTCATACAAATGAATAGCTGTTGGATTATGATTTAAATATTATAATACTTGTTTATTAATTATTTCTAGTACATACATACATGCGATTGTCCGGTTCCGCCGGTAACAACTTAAAATTACTTATCTATGAAACGACACTGGCAGGTAAACATTACTGCGTAATTCTCGAAGCCATCCGACATTTACCCTCTCTCTACCCATACTGCACACATTATTTCAGAAGTGTTTCAGAAATATTTCAAACATATAACATTTCAAGCACAAATTTCTGAAATATTTTAGTTAAATATTTCACTGAAAATATTTCTAAAACATGGTATACATGTTACACAAAAGGTTAATAAACGGGTTATGTTGTAAAAAGCCAACAATTAATGAATAATTTCTGATTTGTAAGAAGAAGATGGGATATGTAGTTATTTTATTTCATCCTATGTCCCTTTCCAGCCACCAGATGGAAACAAGCCTATTTTCTAAATAATTATAGATTTAAGTTGTCGGTTTTTGATATTTATGCGTTGTGCTATTGTTATATGGGAAGCAGAATGTCTTTAGAAATTGAGATAAGAACTACATAAATTATGCTTGTTTAGGCATCAGTATTGTTTTATTATTATTTATTAAAACAATATTAATAAAACTGTTGTTAATTAAATAATTTATATAAATCCTTTTTAATTACCTACAATTTGATTTAGATTAGTGCATTTAAAGGAATAGGTGGAAATGAAGCAATTTACCACTTTTGGGGCTGTGTCAGTAAAAGTAACATTCTGGTAATACAGCAATACTGATCTTCATAGGGACCTTAAATTGGAGAACTGTAGTAGTCACCAATAACCCCTACATGGAAACCTTGAGAGTATTCAGCTCCTCAACAAGAAGATTCAAGAGTACCAGGCCTTTTGAGTTAGTTTAGTAATGTTAGATTAAATCAGAGTATAGTGCGGTTAAGTGTTATACGTTAACGGTCTTTTTTTTAGTCTAATAACATTTACCAAAAAAAAAAAAACTACAGTACATTTTTGAAATATTACTATTAAATATTTCTAAAAGATTTTAAATTTTCATTTTAAAAATATTACTGTGAAATATTATATTTATAGGACATTTTTACGTTTCAGGCACATTTCAGAAATGTTTCTTTGATGTTTCGTAATATTTATACATTACAAATGTTTCAATGCAACATTTATGAAATATTTTCGAAATGTGTTTGTGCTGTATGGGTACCTACCAAAAGCCTTTCCAACTTCTGTGCTATAAAACCAGTATCGGCCATGGGATCGATTCTCGACTCGTATGCATTTTTTCCTACAGGAATTTTTGACATTTTCTATACATCGGAAATTTATGACATTTTCCTACATATAGGAAAGTGTCACAAATTCTTATAGGAAAAGGTTCCTACAAGTCGAGAATCGACCCCCTGTGAATTTTCAACTGATATTGCCTGTATATTTTGATTGTAAGTGTTTTTATTTTTTTAATTTTTTTTATTCAGACATCAAAAAATCAAATAAATTTATTTTTTTAATATGTAATCACACTCCCTTTTTGACAGCGTATTTTCCTTTTAAATTTTAATATATAAATTATATTTTTCAGTACAATTACCCACAGATTTAAAAAAAATATTCACATTTAACAAACAAACATTATATATTTACAAACACATTACAAAATTCTACAAAAAACAATACTAATTATCAAACCTACTAAACTAATCGCAAAATTATGTCCTCTATTACATCCCAACATTTCACTAATCATCCCCTGCACGCACTTACAAGTACCACCGGTACATTGCACTGTATCCGAATATTTAGCCTCTGGAATACACTCCTCAGTACTGCTACAAGAGCTACCAATCGCAGCTGATTTAATACAACGGTTGCTGTATCCGTGGAAACCTTCTGGACACGTACATTTATTCGATGTGCAGATACTGCCTGTTAGGAAGGCTGAACATTGGTCGGTTTCTTCGCAAGAGTCGAAAAAGTTTGTTGCCGCTAAAAAAGATAAAACTAATTATATTATTGTTAAACCTTAAATACCCCAAGGGGGTAAAGTAGGATGGGCTGAAAAAATTAAAGTTACAATTTTAATTTGCTATAGCATTTAAAATCTGCATTTCATTATAAAAACTGCTTGTAATTTTTTTCACCATTTAAAAATTATATTTTCAGCCCTCATCTGTCCCCAAAATACCTAAAAATAAAATTAAATAAAAAATATTCACCAGGTGCGCGAAGGAAGCGACATCTTGTGACCGCATTAAATCTGGCCCTATCAATAATGAATTACACGTAAAAATTTTATAAATACAAAATAAAAATAAGATCGCTGTAAAATATAAGTGTAATACGTGATAAATATTAAATAAATACAAGTAGTAAATATTACATATCGCGATTGAAAAAAGTAAGTATAAGTAATTTTGATGAGTATAAAATACATTTTATTTTAAATAGAATAATGCTGAATAGATAAAGGCCAAAAATAAAGAAGAACAGAATAATTGTATTAGGTTAACTGTTAAAAAAAGGTTACTTTAAAAATTTAAACTATTAATATGTTTTAATAAATTCTCTGCCAATGAACATCATTATTCAAACAGGATTTGAGGCAATATCTCATGAGATATTGCTTCAATCTCAAACTATATGTACAAAAGAAAACAACTGGTAAGGGCAGATCATGTCAGAGAAGTGAAAGAATTTAGAAAATGCGGTAAAAGTTATTATTACATCAAAAATTATAAGACAAGCATCAGTAACGTTACCAAAAACTAATAACCTTAGGAAAATTAATTATTCACCATTCGACGGAGAAAAATCTCTACAAATTAGCAGGAACGAAAAATTTTCGTAAATCCAACCGTTCAGGAGATATTTAAATTTTTTTATTAATTTATTCACAACAAAATCCAGATTTAATGCCTACTTTGTCCACTGCGAACGCTGCTGTCGATTCGACTGACCCCACTATATACTTTGCACCTTGCGAATACCCATTAAAAGCTGTGTTTACGCATATACAGTATTACATATATCTTATCCTTAGATAAAAGAAACAACAGATGATGCATTTCATTCATAAAGTATGTTTTGTTTGGTCCCAATCATCGGAAAAGAGAAAGAAGATATTTTATGCGGATCGAAAGAAGACAGACTGTAATCGAAAATCTCGTCTGGCAACGCTGCTGTTGTACGCAACTACCATACCAGTGGCGTATCTTATCAAAGATAAAATTATAACTAATTATAAAAAAATAATGAAATACTAACCGATATGGTGTGCAATAAACTTTATAATGGTTTAAACTTTAAAACCGATTGGATTTGGTATAAGGATATGAAGTTCAGTGGAATGTAGGTAAAAAGCTTAAAAACACTATTTTTTCCAAGAATAATACATTTATTACACATAAAGATGTTAAATAAAATAAAATAAAAACAAGATAAATAAATCAAGATTTATTTTAAACAAATTTACGAATTCAATTTTGGGGTTAAAATTTGAACAATTTTACAAATTGGTAAATGAGAGATTTTTAAATCAAAATTTAGATTTTTAACACTACCAAATTTATAAAAGTTATTAAATCAATAAATTTACCATACTTATATACAAGGTGGGGATTTTAAATGGAACGCTTCTTATAGCGGATCTGGTAATATATAATGTAAAATCCGAATACACGTAGAACTGTACAACAATAAACCTATCCATTGATAGTTTTTAACTTGTAAAACTAGGCAGTAAACGAACTTATTATCATCCATAAATGTGTGCGGCATAGATAAATTATCTTCTGGTTTCTTGCTAGAGCTGTCAAAAATACTGATACTGAAATCAGAGCTGTAACAGAGTATTCAGAACTTTTAATGTAAAGGTAAGTATACATTTTGATTAATAATAAGGTAGTACATGAAAATATTCAAAGAAAGAGGCATGTAATATGAGTTTATAAAAAAGTTTGTCCTCGTTAACCACCTACAAAATTTAAAGAACTTACAATATAAAAATTTCTTTGTAAGGTAAACTACCAACTTTCATCTTAAAGGATAAACACTTAAATGAACATTTCCGAAACATAAATGAGCTTTCTCGAAACAATGAACTTAGTTTTGGCAGTGCTCCACGCTTGAGATATTTTCTTTTTGAATAATATCATTAGGATCAAAATGCTCCGAGCATAACACTCTTTTGTAGATACCTTCATTTTCTTTAAGTCCTACAAGTAATAGCCAATTATTTCTTGTATGCCTTTCAGTTGGGAATCTAAAAATCAAGCATAATCATATTTATTTTACCACTATAGTCCAGACTAAAATTTTTCTATTAATTACAATTTTTTGCGAAATTAATAATGTTGAAAGATCAAAGAAAATAATAGTAAAACAAAAGTAGATAATACATGTGATATTACGACAAAAATCTTTAAATCTACACCACTGAACTATGCAATACATCATCACCTAACCTTACTTACTTATGAAAAGATACTTCCGCACCCACATTTTCCAGTTTTTTGCTTAAAATGCACTCGCGAACCATGTTGTTAGCTATACACAAGCCGAAATTATTCCAAAAAAGTCTAAAGATTAACAAAAATACCCAAAATGCAACAATTTACTGGATCGCAACGTCGCAAACTATCGATGAATAAAATACTATACTTGACGTCCTTGATGTATAGTATGAATGAAACAAAGTTATTTTAAATTGCGGTGGTGTCACGTTTAACGCTTTTAAAATTCTTGCATTTATTTGCAGGAATAATAATAGTGTTCGCCATAGTTTATCTTAGTATTTGCAAAGTTGTTATTTAGCAAGCGTATGTATGTAAAAACGATAGGTACAAAAATGCCCTGCCTAATGGTGTAAAAATAGGTGCTGCTAAAATATCAAGTCTGCTGAAGCAGTTAAACTAGATTAATCTACTTTGTACACATTTTATACGTTTTTTGTTTTGTTACAAGTCATTTTATTTAGAGATTTACTATTAGAAATGTTTCGGGAAATATTGCAACAAAACGTCGGAGTTAGAAACACTACACTAGGTACGAAAATGAATTGGTGGGGACGCTTAATGTGTCACAATATGTCTCGAAACTATTTTTAAATATGAAAGGGATAAACTACACAGCCTGACAACAGCGCACCAGGAAACGCATGTCGGTTTATTTACGAAATAGCTACGCGCTACGTTTCTTTTCAATGTATGACCGGGTTTTAAATGTAAATAGAGGAGCTTTGATCTTACCGCTAAGACAAGTAGTTTGATTTCGAGACAGTACGAACCCAGCAGCGCACCTACAGCTTACTCTACACTGCGTATTGGGCGTCAAAGTGCATTCCGCGTCGTTGCTACAAAGCTCTCCTAGATCTCTACCAATCACGCAGCTCACTTTGTCCTCATTCGCAACTTCTCTGTCGAACTTGCATGAACATCTACCGAACTTGCAGGTACCAAAATTGTCGCCCGTCATCCAACAGTTCCCGTCGCTTTGACAAAAGTCACCTAGTACTAAAAATAGAAAGAAAATCAGGGTAATAATTCCAAACTAAAATGGGACCAAGATGTGTAGTGGACAGAATAACTCGTGGCATTCGACGTCACGACGTTCTCAGCTGGTGCAGAGAGAGACTGCACGCAAAACAAATTTTTGTTATAATCGAATAAAATGTATGTTTTATATTTTAATTATCCATTAATAATACCTTGGTTATAAATGAATTTAATGCTGTTTTGATGTCATTTGGGAAAGGAATTTGGCAGCAACAATTTAGGTACATTCATTAAAAAAAATATATGATATTGTTACACAGGTTTTTGGTATCTCAATTTATTATTAATTCAACTTTCACAATAACTTAATTCAACTGATACAATAACTCCAACTAATAACATTAACATCCCAGCTAGCACATAACGTTGCCAAGCCTTTCGGCGATGTTGCATTAAGGAAATGTAATAACATTACTGTACAACGTAAATGCAACGTTCATGAGAAGTTGTTGAGGAAATCAAAACCTCGCAAAACTATTTGTTATTTATCTAGTTAACATACCGTAAACATTACAAATCTGAATTCAGAACGTTTAGTTTTATGTCAATTGTCACTTGTCAGTTTTTCTTGTCAATTGTCTTTTTTAATGGTTTATTTTTCGACATCAAGAATTTATTTTATAAATAATTATTATTTATACATTCGAATAGATTTGGTAAGGGTCCTCTATAAAATAGATAACTATTTTCTAAACCATTGTCTTGTTTCAGATTACAATGCCTGATGTAAATTTATTATTTCATTCATTAAGTACATTTAGCAGTCGATGCGGATGACACAAAATAAAAAAAAACTACAATAAAAACAAAGAATTGCAGATCAATCGTTTGTAAACCAGAAGATGAACATTTAACCGAATGTCCGGCAACATTTTACACCAAATACTTATAAAAGGTAATTATACTTTATCGAACTAAAAATAAATTTTAAAAATATTATTTTTTAGGTTTCCTTCGACATTCTAGGAATTTTAGAAGCAAAAGTAAATACTACAGAAGTGTAAAGAAGAATATAACACCTGAAGTTTTATAAAAAGTGAATCTATAGGTACATGATATGTGAGGTATATCAGAATTCAAGCAGTTCATTCTCTTCAACAGGCTAGATTGCCTGGAAATGCAACCATCAGTTCAAGTGAAAACCCAGCAGAAAAGTTGAGAGAAATCATAGATGATACTCTCGAGTATAATAGAATATCTTGCTAAAAAACACCAGTTGTTTTTAATAAAATCTACATATCGATGGCTCAATCAAATACTGCCACAACTAAAATACTATTATTTCGAGAAATTTCATTTTGAAATTTTGTAAGTCTCTATTATCATTATTTTGTTTTTGACATACTCTTTATATTTTATTTAAAAGCTTCGATATTTTGCTGTTAAATAAAATGATTACGATTATAAAAGTGAGTTGTTGCATAGTTGTAAAAAATTTGGGTGTTTTTGAAGAAAATAACTCGAATTGAGGCAGTTTTAGACACAGTTTGTGGCTACATTTTAAATGATTTATCTTTAAGGATATTTTTGTTTGTGGTGGTATTTAAAGTAAAACCGTAATGATATTTTGCATCCATTGAACCAAAAATGTAATTGCTTTGTTTTTTGACTTGTGGCGTTTTTTGATTGAGCCATCGATATATCTACTTTGGAAATCAAGCATAAAATTTGTAAAATTCAAACAAATTTCAATACACTAACATTGGTTGTTTTATTTAAAACAACAAAGTAAGGCATATTTTTTAATTTCTATATAATTTCCTTTAATTAATAATAGGTAAAACAAGTTATCAATTTCTTTTTTATTCAATGTATTGAGAAGTAAAATCTTTTTATATAAAAATATCATTTATGCTCTTTTAATAAATTGTCATATTTAGGTTAGGTTAGATTAGAAGAACATTTTAATAATAAATTTATATAAATATTTTGTTTTATTTGAAATGTTCATGTCTCGATTGAGATTTTACTATAGCCTCAATTTCAGCCTCTCTGTATTACATTACACAATGTGTGTCAACGGATGGACTTAATTATACTTGTAAAAATATTTATTTTAAATTAAAGAAAAAGTTATTTTTCATAATTTCTCAATGTGAATCGAATTTATTTAACAAGCAAGAAATTATGAAGAATTACTTTTTTAATTTAAAATAAATATTTTCACAAGTATAGTTAAGCCCATCCGTGGACATACTGTATAATGCTGTAGATCTAATTCACATTATAACATCAATAGAACGTTTCAGAGCAACTTTCGTGGTAAGTACCGTAAAAGTGCTAGTGTGATGTTTTTCGAACTTCACTTTGTAACTTCTGTGAGATGTGCTATAAAAGTCTTGCCGTTGCGGACATTCGGTAGTTGCAGGGAGATAAGGGTTACATTTACAGTACATTGCATGCGAGCTTAAAGAGCCTAAAATTGCAGCTTATTAACGTAGATGGGGATGTTTTTTGTGCTAGCTGGGATGTTACGTCTATCATAAAACTGAAAAACTCTGACATCAGGTCGTCGACTATAGCTTGCTTGACCTTTTCGAACCTTCTAGAAGTGTCGTCTAGACATATACTTTGATTTTCTTTTACTACACGGAGAATGGTCGCACTGCGCAGCTTTCTGAGTGCCTTTTAAAAGGAGATAGAAAACTCCGCCATTTTGATCACTTATTATGTGTTGCCTACATCTTGGCGCAATATTTTTAATAGGTGCGTTTTAATCATCTGCTTCTGCTTCGGAATTGTTGTTTTTCTTGTTTTAATCTGACAGATTAAAACGACTAAACCGACAATTCTGGAAGCAGAAGCTGATGATTAAAACGCATCTGATATTTTGCTTGCTGCTGTCAGTGTCACTCACAAAGAAAATCAAAGTATGTGGTGTCAGCACAGATGAACCACAACAGATGCGAAACCCGGCAAAAGATCAAAGGATTTTGAAATGAGATTTCTATGACCTTGGACTTTAAATGGGTATGGCATAGGTGTTGCCAATTTTAGTTATTTTCAATCAGTCTTACTAAATATGATTTTCTTCTTTACATGCGTTTTGGATGCCAAGGTTGGTTTAGGTAATTAATGGTTTAATGTATAGTAGCAGCACGAGAATGTTAAAAAGTTATCGATAGGAGTTTCATTTTTAAACATTTTAAAAGAAAAGGAATATGATTTGTATTAATATTTTCATGTTATTATAGGTAAAAAGTTATGACAAGCAACGAATTATAATGTAGAGGTTTTAAAAATTTGTTAAGCGGGCTTAGCCATCAAATCCAGTTAATAGGCCTCCATTTTCCCTTTAATGTGATGATATAAATATATTTGCAATTAGTGGCCTACTGATGGGAAGTTATTGCAGGCATTTTACCATATTAATACTGACTGCTAAATAAAGGCCATGTGCCAGGTACAATTCGATAGTGCCTCTTTGACCAGCAGTACTGTTTGAAGTATAAATATAAAACCGAATGCATTCCAATATACCTAGAATATTGTAGACATTTTATTTAATTCTGCTATATAATATATGTATAATAGAGATAAAATGTCTTCTACAAAATGTATATTCATAAAATATTCTAAATTAACATGTATGAGTAAGAAACTATAATGAATAGTAAATACCAGCAATCCGAAACTGGCCTCATGTCCATTCGCTGAGTATGTAGCAAGTGATCATCGGTATCTCCATCTATGATCGCGGGACGGAACCCTCCTGGACTTTTGGGGGGGGTGGGGGGGGGGGTTGGGTCTGCGGCAGTTAAAGGCCTTTTGACTTTTACCTCGGGCTTACCCAATCCAGTTAATTATCCTTCATATGGCTATCATCAATCAACATAATGCTAGGCCACTATCAAAAGAACAAAAGTAGGCTTTCGTTTTTTAATCGTCGTATTCATTTTCCCTTCAATTACAGCAAAAGGCCAGCAATATCCCGGCAATTCATTGTTTGTTGGGATATAATATAAATCCATCACTAACAAGTATACCAATACAACTTTTGTAAGTAATGGAGGTTTGAATACTTATTGCATACAGCCTATTAGCAGGAAATTACAATTCTATCGCATGTAGCCACAAACCTAATAAAACAAATATTGAACAAATAGTTTGGTAGGTTGGTACTTCTGAACTTTAAAGTATAATTGGATGAAAATGCGAAACAGAACATGTATTCATGAATATTCATTAAATTTGGTTTTAGTTTTATATCTATTTAAAGCACTCATTAGATATTACTTAAAATACATACCTTTCTATTTTTTTTTGGCTGATTTCTGAAATATCTGTTGCTGAATTTTATTAGGTAAAATATTTGAAGACAAATAAATCACTTTAAAAAGTAGTCATAAGTAAAATGTTGACAAGAGTGTTTAAATCCTTGAACTATATTAAACAAATTATACGAATTATTTCAAGTGTGGGATAAGGTAAGTAATTTTCAAAAAATAAATATTCCAACTGATAAATGAACTGATAAAAACATGCGTTTGGTGTTTTTAGACTTCCAAATAATGATTTGATATCATAAGCTTTCAAATGATTAAAAATATTGTTGCTACCTAAAACGAAAGTTGCAGTAGAAAAGTGTACATTTACAGATATGAATACGTGCCTTAGATGCCACCACGACGTATATTCTTCGTTTCACTCATGATTTATCTACAGAAGAAGACTAGCTACAAATACACAATATTTTTATCCAAAAATGCACACTACGCAAAGCGTCACGACCGGTCCTGATTGTCCTGAATGTCACAGAAATGTCATCTCACTTACAGCATCCTAAGCAAGGTTGTCACATAAAAAATTAAAATTTCACGCGTTTTTAAAGTGTCATTGATTGCCATTAATAAATGTAAACTATAAACCTTTAAATGGTTTTGTATTATTTTATGTTTAGCGGATTTTAATAATGCGTTATTTGTATGTATCCTCTGTGGTAACTAAAAAATGTATGTACATTTTTATTTAACTTGAAGTCCAATGTCACATAACATCAGAAAACCTAGGAGCATCGACAACTTCGCATAATGAAATAACTTCTGCCTTCGGAACTGCGCGAGTTGAAACGAGTTGCTACGAGGGACCTTTAAATGGGTATGGCCATTTATCTCTCTCTAATTTTGATGTTCTTTGTCAACTTTCGCATCTGGTGGTGTCAGTGAATATTATTTTTGGAGTCTCAGTTTATTGCTAAAGAATCAGTTAGCTCACTCGGACCAGTTAAAAGTTCCAAAATAACATCCACTCCAGGGATACAAATTTAGGATATGCAGAAGACTGCTGTTTTATTATAGGCGGTTGTCATATATTGAATTATCCGAGTTGCGCAGTGTATAAACTGGAACATTGAGATCAAAAGTGCTGACGCAGAGTGAGCGATCTGATTCTTTAGCTATAAACTGTGGCATAGGAATCAAAATGGCCGCATCCTATGTTGGGCGTGTCGGACCTCTCTCTTGCATCGTATAGTAAAGAAAATCAAAGTATGTGCGTCTAGAATATTCTTGACGGGTAATGACATTTCTGGACATTTCTGGACATTTCTGGACATTTCTAGAATATTCTATCTTCTTTTACTTGTACTTTTACTTATGACGACCGCAGTACACTGTAGAGCGAAGAGTAACATTCCACTTCTCTTTTATCTATACGTTTTTTATGATAGCCGCAGGCTACTGCAGGGTGCTGCGTAACATTATGTATTCGCTCCATACGTGACAGCAGCGCCAATTCATTTACGTACTAATGGACTATTTCTGCGTATACTGAAAATACAATTTTAATAAAATTCGTAATTAAAAAGTATATGTTAGTTTTAATAAAAGTATATGGATTTATAAAACAATTAAAACATTAATTTATTATTATATATTTTTATTGCTTAATTTAAAAAAATTAAGTATAATCAATAAAAATCAATTATAAAATATAGACAGGCAACGGTATTTACGGAAAAATGTATGAGAAGTTGCCTACGTCTAATAAGTTGTAACCTATTCTGTCAAAATAAAAAAATTCTATTAAAAAATAGCCTATAAAGTTAAAATGTAAAAACAGAAAGATTGTCATTTATATTTTCATTTTTGTTCGAAATAAAACAGAAAGAATAATTTTAAGTGGTTTCTTATCAGTAAGTCACGAAAATGCATTCCAGCCATGTACAATAATCAAAGGCAGATATCTTGAAATCTAGATCTTGTTGAACATTTAGGAATAAAGGGATGTTGAAGAACATCGTAAAATGATAATTTATTGTTTATTTAAAATCTTTCAAGTTTCTGATGTCTACTATCCAGTATTACTGTTATTATTACAAAAATAAAGATAATTTTTCTTCTTATTGTACACCTATCTATTTATTTCTTTAATTTAATTTCCACTTAGCTACTGAACATTTTTATAATTTTCACTATTTTTTTTGCTAGTATTCTTATAATTTTCAACACAGCAACTCCGGTATTGTTTTTACCTACTTTTTGTAAAAACGAGTAAAAGGTATGCATGTATTTGATATGCCAAAATTACAAAATATTGCTCTAAAATGCACGAATTATCCGCAGCTAGCGCTAGTATCGCTTTTGCTTCCCCTACTATCACTTCGCATTGAGCCAATATTATGATATAATTCACTACCTGATATTTTAAAACATATAAAAAATAAAACAAATTTAAAAACATTTAAAGAATACTTACTAAAATTGTAGGTTTTTGAAAATAAAATTCAGAATTCTTATCACAATTTATAAAATTCCCAAAAAAAAAAACTAAAATAAAAGCTCCGAGAAGTTAAGAAATAGGTATTGATAACTTACTGCACCGATTATACTTCATCGGTGTATTTCCCTAATTTTTTGGTGCTACGTCTACGATTTTCCTCTGCGCAAACGGAGAATGTCACGATTTATTCTGTCTTCTGTAAAATGAAGAAAAAGGAAAGAGAGACTCAAAGTTGTGTGTCACAATATTGCTGTTTCTACCCTGAAAACAACTACTTCTTTGGCTAATACCTCATTAGGTGTTATATTACAGAAATAGAGAATTGTTATTGTGAGACATCGCTTTGGCTTTTTATATTCTCTTTATTTTAGAAAGAAAATCTATTTCGATTGGTTGTCTTTATTTCGTAATTTGAAAAATTTTCTCGAATTACTTACATACTGATACGTAGCAGCGTCCATCTGTAAAGAGATGAGCGCCATCTTTGCACCTACAAGCCAAGTTGTAGCATTCTGCGTTTTCTGTCAAAATCAGTTGGCACTGCATATTTTTTTCGCAAGCTTCATTGTATCCAGCAGCTGAAACAAATTAGAAACATTTTTTGTTTTCTTTCTTCTACAAAATTCCTATATATGTATTTCGGCAGAGTCGAATTGAAGCCCGCTTAAATAAAGTTTAGGTAGGTAAATGGCTGCCATTGTTGCATTATTAATTTTTGAAGTGAAAACTTCTTTAGCGGCGTTGAGCACTTTTGTGGGATGGGTAAAAACTGTGAAACTCGCGTCAGGACACGTATGCTGATCGAAAATTCGTAAGACGGTTGGAGAGTAGTGTTGTAACATCGAAATCGATTAATCGAACAATCGATTGTTTTCTTTCGATTGTCGATATTTTTTTAAATTGGAATAAATTGAAATAAACTGGAATAAATTGAAATAAATTGGAATAAATTGGAATAAATTGGAATAAATTGGAATAAATTGGAATAAATTGGAATAAATTGGAATAAATTGGAATAAATTGGAATAAATTGGAATAAATTGGAATAAATTGGAATAAATTGGAATAAATTGGAATAAATTGGAATAAATTGGAATAAATTGGAATAAATTGGAATAAATTGGAATAAATTGGAATAAATTGGAATAAATTGGAATAAATTGGAATAAATTGGAATAAATTGGAATAAATTGGAATAAATTGGAATAAATTGGAATAAATTGGAATAAATTGGAATAAATTGGAATAAATTGGAATAAATTGGAATAAATTGGAATAAATTGGAATAAATTGGAATAAATTGGAATAAATTGGAATAAATTGGAATAAATTGGAATAAATTGGAATAAATTGGAATAAATTGGAATAAATTGGAATAAATTGGAATAAATTGGAATAAATTGGAATAAATTGGAATAAATTGGAATAAATTGGAATAAATTGGAATAAATTGGAATAAATTGGAATAAATTGGAATAAATTGGAATAAATTGGAATAAATTGGAATAAATTGGAATAAATTGGAATAAATTGGAATAAATTGGAAAAAATTGGAATAAATTGGAATAAATTGGAATAAATTGGAATAAATTGAAATAAATTGAAATAAATTGGAATAAATTGGAATAAATTGGAATAAATTGGAATAAATTGGAATTCCAAAAAATCAAAAATGCACAACGTTAATATTCAAGTTTTCACTTCTGCCGGCACTCCCGGAGTGCAACCCGTGTTATTTTAAATCTATTTCTTACGCATGTATTCTGGTTTGAGACGATATAGAACTTATCAGATGAGGATGTCATCTGTGTCAAAGTTGGTTAAGAAAAATTGAATAACGAAAACAAAAGAAATTCAATCATTGGTAACTATTTAAAAACATATTTGGTATTTAGTTTTTAAATTCAGCTTACTTTCGCTAATCCAATGTTTACGATGTCAATATATTGGTATTTAATAACACTGAATTTAAAAGTATTACAACAACATTAAAAAAATGTAAATTAATAAGATTGAGAATAACAAAAATATTAATTTTTGCTGTTTTTGATGTTAGTTGAAATGTCATTCATCCACATTTATGAGACAACCTATGATATACGTAATTTTATAGATTGCTGACCCATCTGTAAATAAGATTACGAAAAGCAGGTTGCAATGCTAATATTGCCTTTCCCAGGACCTATTATCTATCTATCTAGCTGAATTAGGGCGTGGTTCAAAGCCCACTTGTACTGAAGCTCTAGGTCTATTGTACCCCTCAGTTTCTATCCCATCAGATTAATTTTCTTGACGAATTTAAGAATATATCTGATGGGCGCTTTCGCGATTTCTTCAGGTTCCGGATATTGTACCCCGAAGTACCATTCCCGTTCCCATTTAAGGTTCCGGCAGTAGCATAGTATGTGAATAGGAGTTTCGTCCTCCTCTTCACATATTCTACATAGGGAATCATCAGAAATCCCTAAGAGATTTAGGTGTCTTCTAAAGCCGCAGTGTCCCGTAAGGAGTCCTAGTTCCCAGGACCTATTAAATAGAACCGTTCTAGCCCAAATGTATTTTAAAATAAAATTTCAGCATTTTATTCTTTAGAAAAAGAAAATAATTTAATTTTTACTTAAAGACACGATATTATGTTAATTATTTTGAAAGTTGAGTTGCCATAGAGTTAAACAATATTAAGAGATCTAAACAATTTTTATAACATATGGATGTAAATAATTTTAGACCACTCTCGTTTCCAGAAATAACACTACCTTTATAAAACACATATCTAATTGCAATTTGTAATACAACTTTAAAAAGGTAATGTAATTAACTTTGATATGAGATATAAACAACTTTGGTAAGAAATGTTATTGGACACATCTATTAGTCTAAGTAATGTTTAATGGTAATTTTATATAAATAAAAATTTCCTTGGTTTAATTGGTCGTTGTTTTTATTTTCAATCGTTTAGCTCTACATATGTTTCGGAAATTTATTTTTTCCATCTTCGGGTGCAGTCAAAAGTAAAAATTAAAAAAAAAAACACACTAGAACACGATAACAGTTTAAAAATGTTTAAAATAACAGAACCCCATCTTTTTCTTTCATCGTGTGAAGGTGTGTTCGAAATAATATTGATTTGGTTTAACACGATAAAGACAAAGTAGGGAAACAAAAAGATGAGTTTTTACAAAGTAAAAAATTACCAGTGGCGTTACATTTAAGGATTAGAAGCTTACAATTATTTAATAATAATAAAATAAACGTTTGACAAATCTTTTATGTCTGTTTTATTATTTATACAGTTGTTATTTTTTTTAATATGTAATATCTCAAGAATTGTTCTTTTGTTGAGCTTAGGTTCTTTTTCGAGAACTTTTACATTTTCAAAATCGAAAGAGCGAAAATTTTCTATCGCATGTTTAGTTAGGGTAGTGGAATTTTCATTATTAGTTGCCATATTATTTTTATGTTTTTTTATTCTTCTATGTAGATATTTTTTTGTCCAATGTAAGTGGAATTACAGTCTTTGCAGATAATTTTATAGACAACGTTTGTAATCCTTTCCTTGTGTTTTTTTTTTATTTTTAACTTTTGACTGTACCCGAAGATGGAAAAAAAATAAATTTCCGAATCATATACAGTGCTAAACGATTGAAAATAAAAACGAAGACCGATTAAACCAAGGAAAATTTTTATTTATATAAAATTCTACTACGGTCAGGAAATTATCCGTATTTAATGGTGTTACCAAGATTTTACAAAAATCACTAAATTTTTAATATATTAAAGTTTGTTTCAATCTCTATTGATAGTAATTGCAAAGAATCGAAAAGAATCGAAAAGAATCGAAAAGAATCGAAAAGAATCGAAAAGAATCGAAAAGAATCGAAAAGAATCGAAAAGAATCGAAAAGAATCGAAAAGAATCGAAAAGAATCGAAAAGAATCGAAAAGATTTGAAAAGAATCGAAAAGAATCGAAAAGAATCGAAAAGAATCGAAAAGAATCGAAAAAAATCGAAAAGAATCGAAAAGAATCGAAAAGAATCGAAAAGAATCGAAAAGAATCGAAAAGAATCGAAAAGAATCGAAAAGAATCGAAAAGAATCGAAAAGAATCGAAAAGAATCGAAAAGAATCGAAAAGAATCGAAAAGAATCGAAAAGAATCGAAAAGAATCGAAAAGAATCGAAAAGAATCGAAAAGAATCGAAAAGAATCGAAAAGAATCGAAAAGAATCGAAAAGAATCGAAAAGAATCGAAAAGAATCGAAAAGAATCGAAAAGAATCGAAAAGAATCGAAAAGAATCGAAAAGAATCGAAAAGAATCGAAAAGAATCGAAAAGAATCGAAAAGAATCGAAAAGAATCGAAAAGAATCGAAAAGAATCGAAAAGAATCGAAAAGAATCGAAAAGAATCGAAAAGAATCGAAAAGAATCGAAAAGAATCGAAAAGAATCGAAAAGAATCGAAAAGAATCGAAAAGAATCGAAAAGAATCGAAAAGAATCGAAAAGAATCGAAAAGAATCGAAAAGAATCGAAAAGAATCGAAAAGAATCGAAAAGAATCGAAAAGAATCGAAAAGAATCGAAAAGAATCGAAAAGAATCGAAAAGAATCGAAAAGAATCGAAAAGAATCGAAAAGAATCGAAAAGAATCGAAAAGAATCGAAAAGAATCGAAAAGAATCGAAAAGAATCGAAAAGAATCGAAAAGAATCGAAAAGAATCGAAAAGAATCGAAAAGAATCGAAAAGAATCGAAAAGAATCGAAAAGAATCGAAAAGAATCGAAAAGAATCGAAAAGAATCGAAAAGAATCGAAAAGAATCGAAAAGAATCGAAAAGAATCGAAAAGAATCGAAAAGAATCGAAAAGAATCGAAAAGAATCGAAAAGAATCGAAAAGAATCGAAAAGAATCGAAAAGAATCGAAAAGAATCGAAAAAAATCGAAAAGAATCGAAAAGAATCGAAAAGAATCAAAAAGAGGCACACTGCTGTTTCACGGATCTATCAACCTGTCTTTTTAACATTCATTCTCAAACACTTCTCGCGTTCACTGGACATATTGAACCGACAGACGCGATCGGCCTGAGCGCAGTGGGATACCAAAAAAGTAGAGAATAATACGTACGAAAATAATAAATATATTAAAGTGAATTTATATTATTAAGTTATTTATATGTGATTTTAAAATAATGTGCTCGTATGAAATTTAACTGGGTGTTTACTGCACAAAGGAACCAATGGAGAAACCGCCTTTGTATGTACATCCACGGATCCAATGAGTTATTTCGGTAATGATATTCCGAAAATAACTCGAATTTATTTAATTAATAATTACTATACAATAAATGGCATACACAACGTTAATAAATCCCACGTTAAAGTCATCACGGTCCCATATACAAGTGCCGGCCGCGTTTGAATATCCACATCTGATACATTTTTTACATCTCGAGTGTTTGTTTATCCACATCGGACACATCTGCGTTTGTTTTTTCAAGATGTATCTGTTTAGTTTACATTTCTTACATCTCGCTTTGAAATTAAATATGAATGAGATGTTCGTTCCATACCAGAAAGTAAGTATTCTGTGAAGCCAAGTTTGTCAATTTATTCTTTGTTTATACTAGCATGAATATAAAAGTGATTATTTTGTTTAATTTTTTTTATATTTAAAATTTAGGTTGATTTGTAGTCTCAAAAGTAAAATTTAAAAAGTATAAACTTCTAACTTGTCATTGTCAGTTTATCACGTGACCAATAAAGTCTAGAGCGTTTGTTTATTGCATCTGACTTTCTGAGGGCTATGTTACATCTAGATTCAGATCTAATTCTCTATCACGTGATACAAAATTCACAACATCTCAGATGAATCCGATGTAGATATTCAAACGCGGTAAAGGTAAGTAAATTTACTGGACAAATTGAAATAAAATATATTTCGGGAATTTAGTACCTAACCCTACTTTTTTATTTTCGTACTTACGTCCGAGGCAAGCAAAAAACGTCCGATTCCTACTGACCATATCAAATCCATCCCTGCACTTGCAATTTCCAATTTTGTCTGCATCGTTATCGAAGCAAAAGGAATTTTTGCTAATTTTCACACAGTCAGAATCGAATCTACATTGCGTGTAACTAACTAAAAACAGACGAAAAGTATATAAATCAATAATACTATTTTTTTTTTTATATAGTGAATTAAAGTTTTTAAATATATAATACCGTCAGTTATATAAATTTTTAATGATTGCCTAATTAAAAATACGTATTTTTACCTTACCTAAATTAAATTGTTCTAAACCAAATTTTTGACCAAAAACAGTCAAACAAACACTCAAAAATATCACTAAAAAATAAATACACGAGGTCATATTATTAAAAATTATAAATTATTAAAAGAAAACTATAAACTAGGCGTGTATTATTAATTATAACTGTCATCACATCGACAGGCTCTTTTCCGCGTCTGATTGGGAAGCAGGTTGAAATAATACGTATAATCTACACAGAGATAATAGATAAACGTGTGATATCATCGTGATAAGAGAGAAAGCTACCTGTAGCCCTCAGGCATCAATTCTAAATAATTTCGAAATGTATTTGTTATTTGTTTAAATCCGTTGTTAGTTTATTTAGACAGTGACTCAATAATATACTCCCATTAGTGCGTAATTACTCGATAAATTTACATTTGTGTTACAGACACGCAAACAAGTTTCCAATAATTGAAAAGACAACATAAAAATATTTTTGGATATACAGGGTGTTACGTTTTTGTCTGACAAATAAAAATCTATATTATTAAATGGAACACCTGTAATTTGTTTCAGTCTAATAATTAGGGTTGCCAGATGTGCTACAAAAAAAAACGGACATCCGGACAACCACATACCACAAAAAAACTTCAAAAAATTATATATTTTATTATTATAATAACATGAAGTCAGATCCAGAACACAAAAATCATAAAATATTACCAGAAAACACTCAGTAATACAATTTGTTATTAAAAACTGATTAATAAACCAGAAAAACGATAAATAATCATGACAGCTGACGCAACTGACATATAAAACTGACTCTGTTTTACTGCGCAATCTCCTCAATTCCAATTTTGACCAACATTTTATTAATAATAAACATATTTGAACTATAATGCAGATTATCATTACCTATCTCCTAACACTCTAGATCTGTGATCCATACACAATACTTTTAAATTATAAAGTGCAGAAAAGCTACCCCAAAGAAACAACCTTAACCCACAAATTCTAGAAAACCAATCCTTTCTGTATTTTTTTACATTTTTAGTGAGTACGTGTTTATTGTAAGTTGCAAAGGTAAAAGCAAACCGTTATTAATAGAACTTAAAAGCATTTAAATAGAACAAATAGAAGAGCCAGAAGTGGCAGGTACGATTCATATCTACACCGACGGTTCTTAAACAAAACAAGGCTCAGGATGCGGAATATACTCCAGATTCTTAAACCTAAACATAAAATGGGCTGTGAGCAATAGTGCCAGTGTAGTTCAAACTCACCCTGAACAGACCACGAATTTATTCAGGGTTAGTACTAGAATGTCATGAAGCTTTGGCTGAAGTATCCATCAACAATGTGGTCACCTTAAGATGGATCAAAGGTCACGACGCCACATCGAAAGGTAACCGTCTTGCCGATTCACTAGCCAAGAAAGCAACCAAACAAATACTTTTTGGACCTGGCCCTTCTATTGGCCTGACAAAATCGGAAGTGACAGACCTAATTAAAGAACATTCCCTTGTGAAATTCAAGGAAAGATGGGATGAGACAAGAAACTGTGAGTTGCCAGTGAGCTCTTAAGTTATCCTGACAATACTGCAGCACACAAATACTTGACTATGACAAGACAGAATATGCGTCTGGTCACAGGCATTCTGACTGGTCATTGCCAAGTACGGAAGCATCTCCATATCATGGGGCTGTCAGAATGCGCACTCTGCAGAGGGTGCGAACAAGAAGATGAGACCATCGAGCATATCCTTTACGATTGCCCGACGCTCTCATTTATTAGAAGATTTGTGTTCGGCGAGTATCGGCTAACACCGGCCGATATAAGAGAAGCACCTCTTGGCGACGTTGTCAACTACATTAAATCTGTAGGCTGGCTGACGAGCTAGGAGTTGCCTATCATCTTAGGAGGATGCACAATGGGCCTAATGAGGCCTAAGTGCCGTGGGGGTAACCCACCCTCCACACGTTACAGATACAGAGATACAGATGGTAGTGTACTCTAAATAATAATTTAATATAAATAACAGTTCTTTGGTTAAATCGGTAATAAACAAGTTTTTATTTAAACTCTTCATATATTTCGGACACTACAATTTTTCATTTTATGGTGCAGTCAATATTTTTTTGATACTTTTTATAAAAGGAATTTATAACGTCTTTTCCCATATTTTAGCAAATCTTTATTTTAATAAAATGCTCATAAATCTTAAGGAGGAAGACATGGTTCCCATGGCCCTCTCCGTAAAGCCACTTTTAGAAAGTTGGAAGTTTTCTGCATATTTAAGAGAAGTAAAGAAAAATTTTCTTCGTATGGTTTTTGCATAAAGAGATGTAAGTACGTATACTTTAAAGTCTGTTTCAACAACGATCACAAACCAGTCACTGACACCAGGATTCTGCGATGTAGATACCTTGGAGGATCCAATAATCTGCTGCGCACAATCCTGGTGTCAGTAACTGGTTTCTGATCGTTGTTGGAACAGATCTTTAGTATTTTTATAGTGGGTACTTTGTTGAGAAGTGTAGCCTTTTTAAAAATAGGCAATGCGCAACTTTAAATTAATTAAATTTCAACCCAGTACCATTTCTCGATAAGGAAAGTGTGAAGACCTTCCAGACTTTGCCCCTTGCTTGTGGAGCCCATTGAAGAAACATATACACCAAATTTATACATCATTAATATTGTGTAATGTTTAACAGAAATAAAGGACATTATAGGATTCCATTATAAAAGTTATGCCACTACTTAAAATAAAAACCTAATTAGTAGGTTCGATAAAAACATTGTCCATAAAATTATCTAAACACGGCCCAGAACCAGGCTAGTCGATGGCGAACCCGCAAAATAAAAATAATTTGACCTACAAAATCTGGCAAGCAAGCAAGCAAGCAAGCGTTTTCTGCGACAAAAACAACGCTGGGTAATAGATTTGAAAAGTTTGAAGATTTGAATTATTACACCAAAGTGCATTTAATCGCCATCTATCGCCAACTTAGTTAATAGTTTTTACTTTCCTATCTGTATACAGATATAAGGAAAGTATAGGAATCATGATTTTTTTCGACCTCGAGTTTTCGACGGATTTTTACGTTTTGAGGTCCCCTGAATCCGTTTTGACTATTTTTGCGATGATGTCTGTGTGTGTGTGTGTGTCTGTGTGTCTGTGTGTCTGTGTGTCTGTGTGTGTGTGTGTCTGTATAACGCATAACTCATGAACCGATACACGGAAAAACACCAAATTTTAAACTTAAGGTTTGTTCCAACGTCTAATGAGCTGATTAGATTTTGGGCAGAGTCGGAACATCTGGGGGGGTACTTTATAGGTGGTCATTTTTATATTTTATGGAATATATCTGTTATTTACGTTTGGGGAAGAAAATTTTTTAAATGAAAGTTACTTCTTATTTTATTATCTATAATTTTTGTTATTTACAAAATTTTCCTAAAATGGTCCGTATTCGCGAAATTTGACAAAATGTAAAAAAATATTTTTTTCTATAAAAATTGTTCAAACAAAAGTTGTTTGTAATATAATTCTGTATAATTCTTATCCTATAGATAATTTCTCTAAAATGGACCGTATTCGAGATATTTGAGAAAATGTGTAAATTTCGAAATTTGAAGAAAACTCAAAAATGGATAAAGAAAAAAACATTAAATTTTAAACTTAAGTTTTATTTCGGCCTGACGTGAAATGATTAGATTTTGGACAAAGTCGGAACATCTGGGGGGGTACTTTATGGGAGGCCGTTTTTATATTTTATGGAATATATCTGTTATTTATGTTTGAAGAAAAAAATTGTTCAAATAAAAGTTACTTCTAATATTATTATCTATAATTTTTGCTTTATGTAAAAATTTCCTGAAATGGTCCGTATTCGAAAAATTTGACAAAATGTGCAAAATTCTGATTTTTATGAAAATTGTTGAAATAAAAGTTGTTTGCGATATCGATCTCTATAATATTTGTTTATACATGATTTTTTTAAAATGGACCGTAATGGAAAAATTGTAGGAAAAGTGCTAAATTTAAATTTTTCAGTATTTTCATTTTCAATGACAATGAATATCTATAGAAAAATGTTTCGCGGTAGATGTATGTGGACAATGTATATATTTAGTTTATCCTCTAAACATTTATAGAGATGCTGCAATAGATTGTACAAAATAACCGGAAAAAGCCTGTAATACCTAGATAGGAAAGTCATGTGTTGGACACATCAGATTTTTTTTATGAATATTATGACGTGCAAATTCCGTTTTAAGGCCAAGTTCAATTTTGTTTGACATATAATCACGATTTTTTTTAGTTTAGAAAATTGCATTATCGATTTTTTTCATTCGAAGTAATAAAAGATGTCACTTTAAATTTCTATCTCTTTATGTCAACAAATTTGTAACACAATAAATTTATAAAACGTATGTCACTAATGAATATGTGGCGGCAACTGACGGCAACACTGTCAGCTACTCCATGGCTACTGGAGTACATGCAGGTCCGGTATAAGCCATGGAAAATAATAATTTAATGTTTTGATCGAGTTAAATAAAATATCAAAATTAAATGTTTATTTTTAAGTAAACGACATTTTTAAATGTATACGTCTTCAATCAAAAATAATATAGGCTAATACTCAAGTGTATTATACGAGTGTACTGGACAAGAGATAATTATACCCTTTACTCTAGTTTTTACTTTCCTATCTGTATACAGATATAAGGAAAGTATAGGAATCATGATTTTTTTCGACCTCGAGTTTTCGACGGATTTTTACGTTTTGAGGTCCCCTGAATCCGTTTTGACTATTTTCGCGATGATGTCTGTGTGTGTGTGTGTGTGTGTGTGTGTGTGTGTGTGTGTGTGTGTGTGTGTGTGTGTGTGTGTGTGTGTGTGTGTGTGTGTGTGTGTGTGTGTGTGTGTGTGTGTGTGTGTGTGTGTGTGTGTGTGTGTGTGTGTGTGTGTGTGTGTGTGTGTGTGTGTGTGTGTGTGTGTGTGTGTGTGTGTGTGTCTGTATAACGCATAACTCATGAACCGATACACAGAAAAACACCAAATTTTAAACTTAGGCTTTGTTTCAGCGTCCAATGAGCTGATTAGATTTTGGGCAGTGTCGGATCATCTGGGGGGTACTTTATAGGTGGTCATTTTTATATTTTATGAAATATATCTGTTATTTACGTTTGGAGAAGAAAATTCTTCAAATAAAAGTTATTTCTATTATAATTATCTATAATTTTTGTTTTATGCAAAATTTTC